AGCAGAAGGTATTTTAGAAGAACTAAAGATAACAGGAAAATGTATTGAACACTCTCAGCGTGAGAACTGGAAAGAAAGCTAAGATAATCCATATGGAGCACCAAGTCAAAATAAAGTATTTATTTTTGTTTTCCTTTAGAATGATAATACTGCACATGCAACCTGCCTAGTGGAAGTGGACAGTCAAAAATATAAAGTAAAGCCGTTCAGCTGGAAGCTAAATTGGAAAAAGCATCTTTTAGGGAAGTGTGCAGGAAGTGTGCATGAAATACTGCATGAAATTACAATTCTGCCAACACAAATTGTAAATAGCTCTGTAGAATGGGGGTGGCACCTCTCATTTGGGAGCAGCAAATAGAGCAGCTATGGCCAGGTGTGCTGAAAGGCTGCAGGCTGCTTGCTCTGACCAGTGTAGACCAGGGAGGAGAGTCTAAGGTCACAGCAGCAAAGGGAAGCAGCATATAATGTAGCAGAAGAACAGCCCTGGATACCTGTCTTTGTAGCTTGAATCTGCTGCATTTCCTTCACCCAGGAAAATCTGTTATGGAGGAAACCTGTCTGTGTGTAACTTAAGCATCCAGGGAAAACCTTGGAAAATGAAGTGTGAGAGGGGGTTTGTAGGTTACACTCACTGAGGGGGCAGACATAGGCAGGGAGCAGGAAAGGGAAGCACAACACTGGCCCAAGGGTAAATGGGACTGACTGCCAGGAGGCTCCTTTGGCTGGAGGTTCTGAAGAGCTGTAGCCCTCTGAGTCACCATTTGCCTGCTGGAGGGAGCTGTGAGATACTTTCTTTACCCTGCCTCAATTGCCTCTGCCAGTGTCAGAGAGAGCCCTTCTGTTACTGCCAGCAGCCTTAAAATTTTAAAGATTTAGCTTGGAACCTTTTTAGTATGAAAATGTCATTTTTCTTAAAATAGAAGTTTCCTCAACCAGCATGAACTAAGAGCCCCCAAGTTCAGAGCCCCCAAGTACTCCAAAAGCAGTGTGTTATTTTATTTTGAATGGCCATCATGCTTTTTAAAGCCTTACACCTATGTCTGGCCTCATACCCAAACTGCAGTTGCTCATGGTGTCAGTGGTTATTGGCAGAACTGTTCAGGACAAGCAGGACATCTTCAGACCCTTTTAGGTCTCCGATTTTTACCAAGTGATGTTTGGCAGGACTTGATCAAACTGAGGAACTTTGAGAAGAACAACCTGAGTGAAGGTTGGGCAGATGGCACCAGCAGTGGTGTGTGAAGTGTGAGTCAACAGAGCTGGATCCAAGGGTAGCCTTGAGACAGGATGCCAGGATCTGGGGAAACGCAGTGGAGAGGTCACTGAAGTGGTCTGGAGCAAATACATGACCAAATACAAGTTATTAGTCTGCAATTTCATAATAAATTACCACCTCAGCACAAAACTATTGCTGCAAGAGTAAAGAAACACATAACTATAAATTAGCAATACCATCACTTCAAGAACTGTCTCATAAATGCTTATTTTTATCTCTGAATTGTGGCTTACTATGCAGTAATCCTCCCACATACCTGAGCCCCTGAAGCAACCTTAACCCTTCTGGCAGTAGTCTAAAAAAATCAACTGGACCTAATTTTTTCCCTGACTCGCATTTTAATTAATTTATGAACAGTGTAGCTGTTTCTGGTCTTCCAGTATAATTTCTAGTTCTTCTATTTTTGTCACCTAATTTTGGAAATTCAAATGTGCTAGTGCAAGGATGAAAATGTTATGGTCCATAAAAATTAATTAATTTTGTCAAGAAAGATCAGCTCTAGAGGGAGTGCCAATAAAATTTAAATGCCACAGGTTGTAACTGAAGTTATATTTCTGTGCTACTTTCAGTAAACTTTAATTTTTCAGTGGCTGGCTGATGCACCTGTCTGCAATGATTCACTTCAGCTACCCAACCATACATAAAGCTTTTCTTTAATCCCTGTGGACAGAATGCATTTCTGTTACCTGCAGGCTGACCATTGCTGGGGAAGGCGCAGGTAGCCCATTTAATTTGTTCTGTTCCTGAAAGGTGCTGATATGAGCTACCTAAAGCTATTTACACATTGAGCTGCCCCTGGATATTAAGAAAGGTGGTGCAGCCTGATTTGTGATCCAAATTTGCCTGTTAGATACTGATGCTAGCTTAACTTGTTCTCAGCCAGATCTTTGTGATTCCCAGCATAAGGAATGAGGAGATTTTTGAGCACAGTTTTAATCTTGGCATTATCTCTAGTGGGTACAGAGTGCACAGACCTTTTTCCTCTTTGAGCAGTTCCTAAAGCTTGTGGGAAATAAAGGGAATGGTGCTGAGGCTGCCTCAAAGTTCAGCCTTGACACCCTTCAGCTCCATCTCTTGTGCAGTGTCTAAAGTGTGTCATATCCATTGGAATTTTCCTTTTCCTGTCCTCCTGGGCATTGGTGGCACCTGTGAAAGCCTCTCAAGCTTGGAGCTGCCAATGCATGTCCCCTAGGATAGGGACGCCTGAGCCATTGTCCATCCATAGGATGGATGTAGGTGATGGTGCCACAGGCAGCTGGGACTCACTCTCAGATGCTCTGGCAGGACCTGTGTTGGATGTGGTTGCTTTTGCATGAAGCAGAAAATTAAAAAATAACAAAGTTGTTTTCATTTTTTCTTCCTTTTAGACACAACTAACAGAGCAGCTGCTCCACAAGTAGCTCCTGGTTGGACTCTTGAATTCAGGGCGTGTGCACAGAACAGCCCTGGGCATCCATGGGGACCCACCAGAGAGGGTTGCTCTCAGAGGTGCCATAAGACAAGAGATGATCTCTTGTAATGCAGATTTCCCCTCTTCCTCAAGGTGTAACAGGCACAGCGCTCTCCAGACAGGCTTTGCATGGAGCAGTGTTTCAGCTATCCCTGCTGGATTAAAATATATGCCTTGACTAACAAGTGCCTGTGTGCTGGGAGTTATTTTGGAAAGCAATAATGAGCTGCACTGCTTGTGGAAGGGGGGGAAACGATAAAGAGCCATGAGGAGAAATTGTGACAGACCATGCATAGCAAGCTCCTTGAGGACAATCCTGCTGCCAAGGCAGAGGAAGCAGAGCCTCCCCCCTCAGCAAGTGCAAACTGAGACCAGCTCAAGGGTTTGTGGTGACAAAGGCAATTAGGTGGGTGTGCAAGAGAAAGGACAGGCCCTGTGTTATTGCTGTGACTAATACCTAAATTGCTGCAGGTTTTCACACTTAAGCTGTTTTTCTTCTGACCCTTGGTAAGCTGGATATTCCAACTAAGCTGCTTTTAGCTCTCAGATGTGAAAGAGATCCATGAGCAAAGCCTTGCTCACCTTCTAATCAATGCAGAATTAAAGAAAGAGCCACTTAGTATAATCCTACCCAGTAATGATGATGGCTCTGTTAGCTAAGGAGGGGCCAGAGCAAGGGGGTGGGGGTTTGTGTGGGTGTATGTGTTTGCAAGAGATTTTACTACAGCTTTGTGGTAACCATTACAGCCATCTATACATTATATTATATCACTATACATTAGGCTTGCTCGTCACTTGGACAGCTTTGCAAAATCACTTGTGAACTCTTGCTGTCAGTAGCTGCTGTGTAGCTGTCCACCTTGTTTTCAGAGCCACCACCTTTGGGGTTTTTTTTTGTTCATTGCCCTTTTGTGACTTTTAGGGTCTCACAGCAGTAGTAGTCAGTTTCTGCTGGTCCCCTCACCGTGGCTAAAAGTGCTCCCCTTTGGTGCAAAATGGCCAGTGTGTTACTTTGGCCATGTCTGTCCTTGTCACCTGTTTCCTACACCCCTTAGCAAGCTTTTTCTCAGTGTTTGGAAGTCTCTTTCTCACACATCCCTCACCTATTTTTGTCCTTTGGGAAGTGGCATGGCTACTGCAGTCTCTTCCAAGTCTCCTCCCCCCACCCAGGACTGTCACAGAGGCCTTGCTTGGAGGGTGGCACTCTGGGCTGCCACACAATGAACATGAGGTGCGACATGGAGAGTCACTTCTCAGGCCATGCTGAGGAATGTGTCTCCACGCTGAAGGAGCAACTGAGCAGCAAGTTTGAAATGCTTCAGGTGTAGAGCTGTGTGTTGTCTGACTGAATGTGCCCCATGCTGACACTGCTGTATTTGCAGGACTGAGAAGGAACTCTGTGAGTGGGAAGCACCATTTTCTGTGCATGCTGCTCTTCTCAGAAACTTCACATGCTGCAGTATTTCCTTAGCCCGGCTACCAAAGGCTGATTTGTTTTTTAAACTCCCACCATTAGGGAAGGCATGTTCCATGCAGTGCACAGCAGGGATAAAAGTGACCAGCCTGCATTGCACCCACCCTGCAGGCTCCCAGTGCATAGGGGTGTTTCTCCACAACAGTGGAACACTTGTTTTTTTTACACAAGGCTATAGTTTTCCAAGACACAGCTCTCAAGCCAACAGTGCATTTCAGCTTTATTTATAGAAACAGAAAAAGATACAAAATTATGAAGGATATATAAAGCACTCAAAAAAAATAGAAAACAATTTTAGTTCAGAAATAAGCATGCTCTAGATGACCTTCAGGGTCATTTCCATATTGGAGCTGGAAGCTTTGCATGCATACAAATTGGAATCCAATCACTCAGTAGCACCTCAGCAAATGTAATAATGCTAATCAATAAGACTGAAGAACAGATTCATGACATTTGCTCTTATGCTAATTCTACTGAATTACAAAGTTTGAGCAAAGTCTGAGAAAGTTCTTGCCCTTAGCTCAGTGCTGCCCCAAAATGGAGGCCAATCTCAGATCCTTTTAGAAAATTCAGAGCTTAGAGCCATGCACTCTGTGGCTGAGAGAATCCCTGTAATCCCCATCCAGTCAGTCAGGAGAGCCATGTCTTGGCCAGGCAGCATTCAAGATAAGTTATTTTCACCAAGCCATGGTGTCTCCTAGAAATGGCTTCCAGGGGAAATCATGGCATTGTCATGGTGGGGGACATGGGGGACTCAACATAAAAGGCTGGAGCCTCTGGTTGAAACAGCAGGAGATGGATAGAGCTGAAGGCTCTGCCCTTATTTCTTCAGGAATAAATGGAAGGTAACAAGAAGGCTGCCACAGCTGTGAGCATCAGAGGCATCAGAAATGCAGGCAATAAGCAGAAGCCTGTCTCAGGAACTGAATTTCTTGTTGAAGGGATAAATTATATCAGACTTGGCTGAAGCTGCAGGAGTGATGGACAGTAGGACACTAATTCCCAACAGGCTGAAATGTCTGCCAGGGGCATGGAACAAGTTTTGACATGCTTTGGGTGGAGGAAGCTGCTTTTGGAAGAAGTCTACTCCAGAACTTGTGGCCTTTTGACCATGCCTAGGGGGAATGTCTAACTTTAGAAAGACTAAAGGTCTTCTGGCTGCTCTTCAGTATCAGTTTAAAACAGAACAGTGTAGGAGACACCCATAGTATCAGTCAGGGAAGGGTCTCCCCATAGAAAACAGCGTATGTGCCCTCCTGCAAGCTGGACACCTGCAGGTGTGACCTGCCCAGCTCTGGAGGGATGCTCTCACCTCTCAGCACAATCCCTGGGCAAAGATGCTGCTGTAACAGGTCTGTGTGGCCAAAGGACATGGAGCTCCAGCTAATCTGAGGCCACTGTATTGGACCATTCTGTTTTTTTCTAAAGGCCTTAAAAAGTTCCTCCCAGGGTGTCTGCAATACATTGCAGGAGCTGATTGCTTGGACACCAGAGAATGAAGCAGACTGAACAGATTTACCATTAAAGCAGACTGGAGATATCTCCTTTTGTAACAGAGCAGTACAAGAGGCAGACTGAACAGTCTGAAGGTGGTACTAGCCCCAAAATAAAGGTAGTGTTTAATGCTTTAGCTCTAAGACAAGGCAGAGAGCATCTAAAGTCCAAGGAGCTTTAAGATTAAAAGATTAAGATTATTTGATTAAAAAGGAAAACTGTTCCTTAAGCAAAGACCTTGCTTCCTATTCTCTCTTTTTTAAGAAACAAAACCATTTCTAAGGTTACCAAAAAGGTGCTATTTTAAAGGCAAAATTTTAAAAGAAGACATTAAAAAGAAAAAGCAGGCTTTGCTACAGTAGGTGGCAAAGCAGCTTAAGGCAGAACTACTCCAGTCAGTGAGAATGCAGAATGTTCTAGCTTATATTGGAAAGCAGTCAAGAAGAACTGATGAGCATCTTGCCCTTCATGGAGTAGTGTAAGTGCAGGGCACAGCCCTACATGCCCCTGGACCCCATCTGTGAGAGACTGGGCTTTTTGAATTCTCCAAGGTAGAAATTTTTTTTCTTCATATCTCAAAATGAGCAGCAAAACATGAGAACAACCCCAACATATATAAAATTCCTGTTCTGAGATGCACACTTCTGATGTACACAGAGTCACAAAGATGCTGTTTTACAAAAAAAACATAAGTCAAAATGCTTCATAATTTCTCCCCACCCCCTGCTGCAGCCCATCAGTGTTTCTGCAGTTCAATTCCCGCATTTGCAATCCAGAATCAATTACATGAGCTCTTGGTTTTAATACCTAGGCTGAAGATTTGGTCTGGCTCAGCCTTGTGCAGATAGAATATCCAGTGTAGAAAAACCATCAACCTGCCTCAAGAACAATGGTTTGCATCATTCCTAGTGTGCAGCACACTTCTGCTCCCACTCAATTCCAACATGAGCATAGCAGTACAGGAACCCAAGGACAGTCAGTGTCGCCCATGGCCAGCCTATAAATAGAAAAGACAGACAATCCTGGTCAGAATAATTAATGACTGCTTCAAGTAGAAATACTCTGGGGATGGCTAACTTATCATGCTTCTAATTAATTTTATTAGCAATTCAGCTTCATAAGTAAGTAGAGTCAACCCACAAAATTTGAAAAGCAAAATTATCTAAGCTCCAGGGTTGCCTGACCCCCTGGCAGTTCTTCTCCTTCTCAATTTTCAGGGAATTGGACCAGATTTATTCCTGTGGAATTTCAAAGGTCTGTTTTGATCCTCTCCTTTTAGTGAGTTTGTCTATCAAGCAGATTCCCCCAGTGAACCCTGATGCTTTAAGCTGGCTGTGGGGATTCCTAGGCACAAAGGGATGTACAGCCACACTGAAGATTATTAAAAATCTGAACAAGTCCAGTTACCTGTTCTGCAAAAGGAGTCTGGGGTAATCTCTGATTAAGGTTGTTTTGGATATCCTGCAGCTGGGTGCAAAGCCTGATGTACCCCTCTACAGCCCACTAACGGCCAATGTGTGCCAGTGAAGAACAGACAGACCTCTCTGCCTGATTTGCCTGATGCCCAGGTTATTTTTTAACTATAAAGACTCTTCCAATATATAAAATCTTTGCTGGTCAAATGATGTTTCATTACTATTTCAAATTCTCTTTAGTAAAAGCTACCATCCTTTCATTCAAACTTATCACAGCAAAGAGCAGTAAGCAGGAGGTCACAAGCCAAAAGGTCTATTGCTTTCCAGTAGAGTTGTAAATCATTTGAAAAGTAACCAAGTAAATGATTTTGCTTTCCTTGATACCTTTCCTGACACTTCTATTTCCTTTGTCCATTCTCCTCCTTTCTCTAGAATTTATGAAATTTAGATCTTAGAGACTGAAATCCTCAATGCTAGGCCCTGTTGTGTTTTACTGTGTGCTGTCTGGGGAAAGGGGACAGAGAGGAAAATGTTTGAAGGTTTTTTTAATGGCTTTTTCTTGTTGCCATTGTTGACATACAAATTTTGGCCACGTGCATGAATGGTTTTCTGCATGCTGTCCTTGGACTACCAACATCTGCTTCTAGAAGAAAATCTGCCCCTCTTGGGGAAAGCTCTGATCTAAAGGAACCTACAGGCAGACAGGAGATGCCCCTCTGGCCTGGAAGAAGGGATGGAGAGAAGCTCTGCACAATGTGATATTCCAGGAGGAGCTCTTTCTGGAGCTATATTTCCAAGGTGCTGTGTAGGCTGGTTTTGTCCAGGCTCCAAGCTAATTCCAGTCAGGGCACAGTTTAATTGTGCTCCCATCCAGCTGAGCCTTGGCTCAATACCCTGCCCTCAGCAGAACTCAGAGCCCCAGCCCAGTCCTGCCCGTGCTGGGACCCTTCCCCTGTGCTCCAAGAGCTGGGCAGGGTCACACTTCATCCTGGAACAGCTCCAGAAAAGGCTGCATCCCCCTGCTATGAATAGCTGTGCTTGTTTCATGAGCCTCTAATTATTCTGGCCTTGCTTTGTGGTGAAATACTGTCCTGTAACCTGACTGATTTTCATGGAGACATTTACAAATATTAATCCCTTGTCTTCACAACCCCCTGAAGTGAAATTATACTTTTGTTTAATTATTTGTTTCACAAAACAAATTGGCTGAGGCATCTCCAAGGGCGTTTTTAACCATAAAAGTCTTGGTTTTATTTCAGTGAAATTAGCCTACTGCAGATTGGGTTTCACCTTCAATAGCAAGCTAAAGCCCAGCTGTGCTTTGTCTCTGCTGAAATTGCATGTGAAAGTATGTCAATAGATGTAATAAAAACATACCTCTTCTGGCAGCAATATTGTGGTGGCTGCTTTATACAGACAGAGCCAGAAAATGAAAAAAGCAGAGTCTAGAATTGTTCTGTTTTAGGGGCACTTTGGAAATTTGCTAGTTACATGTTTTGCATTTTTAAATACTGTAAAGCTCTGGCACACAGAAAATGTGCTAACAATAGCTGACTTGCTTGCTCTCCCCAACCAGCATATTAGAGACCTTGGCAGAATACATAGTTATGCACTGGAAATCTTTTCTAGATGTCTTGGATTTCTGATAATATCCCTCCATAGTGCCCAGAACCTGGGTTCACAGGGTTTTTAACCACAATAATCAAGCTTGTGGTAATCCTCCTGGAATGTAGGGAGTTTGTCCTGTACAGTGCCAGGGGTGGCATTCAGCACATCATCCCCTCTCATTTAATGAATGTGAGAAGGAAGGGGGAAGAAAAAGTGACCTTAATATGGGCAAAGGAAAAGGGGATTTTAAAAAATTTGATCTTGTTATAGTTCTCCTAGGAGGTGCTGCACAAACCCCAAAGCATTTCCTGCTGCACAAGGAGGAGGCAGCTCCAAGCAGGGGTGAGGGGACCTTGCCCATTGCACTGCACTGGAACCACGTGCAGTGCTGGTGGGTGTGGGGAAACGCACTGAGTGAGGCAAAGGCACCGTGTTCTGCCCCTTGGCAATCCCAGATTACTCCAGCCCACTCAAGGCAGATTTGCACAGGTGCATCCACATCCGAGAAGCAGCCCAAGGACAGCCTGAAGCAAGTAGGGGACCTCTAAATTGTTTTCACTAATTTCCCCATTTTGGGACAGGATATTCAATAAAGTTGCTGAAAAGTCTAAGGAACTTGCTCTCCAGAAGGTGATGCTGTAGGAAGCACACATGGAGCAATGCTAATCCAGCAAGGGTGCAATTTCAAATTCTGCCCAGCATGTGTTTTCCTTGTAGGTGACCTCCACAGTCCAACAGCAGCACGAGCTGCTCTCTTGCAATGTAAGGTCACAGAAACCTTTTCTGGCTTCCACAGTTTCTCCTTGTAAACCCAAGCAACCAATCAGTACCAATGGCTTTGGACGCACAGCTCCAAGGAAATTTCCTCCTTTTACCCTGGCCAGCATCTTAAGGTATGTTTGTACCTTATGTATGTACCTCAGGCCTTCTGCTGCCTCTCATTCTGCTCCTACTCTCAGACACCATTCAGGGGGCTCTTTTTGGTGACTCCTCAGCTTTACCTTATCCCCCTAAACCCCTGCACCCTCACCCGTGCTGTACCAGTCTCCAAACCCTACTTGGAAGCACACATGCCTGCATTTTGGATCAGCATCTCTCTGTAAAGTCATACATAGAATGTACTCTTCAAAACATTACTGGTGTCAGACCAAGCACGAGGCTGTTAGGAAATGACTGAGCTAAGTCTATTTATTCAAAACCATGTCACATACCACTTTAAATCTCACAGTTTCTTGACTGGTTTCAGTGATTTGATTTGGGCTTGAAGGCTGAGTTTCATGGGACTACAGAGTTTGTCATAATTTTTTTTCACAGAAAGATGAATTTGTGTATATTAACATATGCTATTTGTAGAAACAAGGACTAATTCATATGCTGTTTGAAAATCCAGGAAGATTTGTGAGCTTTACCGGCAGAAATTCATTTTAAGACAGCTGGATCACTTTTAACAAAGGAACACTGGGTGAGAATCACAACCAAGGTGTGCTGCTCCACAGAACATCAAACACAAGCTCCTTTGTGAGGAGGAGTAGTGCAAATTTTGTAGAGAGGCAGCAGCAGCACTTGATCCATCTATCACACAACCTCCTCCCAGAGAATTCTTCAGTCCCAGCTGGGCCTGAGGCACTGCTCTGTCCAACACAGCTCATGGACTTCCCAGGAGCCTTGCTGGTTAAAACCACACTTTGGTATGTCATGTACTCAGCTTTCAGCCTAATGAGCAGGAGATTTGTTTTCATTACATCATCAAGAGGGAATTGATACAAACAGGAACAGCTTTTGGAGTTACACTTTCAACTTCCTATCTCTCATTCCAAAATATTTCTGCATACTTTGCAAATGACTAGAAAAGGTCATGCTTCTAGCACACTCTGGATTTTGACAGGAATGGGGTAAAACTAAGCTTTCTACTGAAAAGTAACAGGCTGGATCACAGCTCTCAAAAGACCAGTTATGTCCTTATTACCTCAGTTCAAATCATTTGAACCAACATTTAATCATGTATCCAGAAGGAAGCTCTTTCAAATTTCCTCATCACCCACAGTAATGAAAAGGAACCCACTGGCAATGTTTTGGGCATAGCCAGGTTTCACACCATAATGAAAACACAAGGAAACAGTCGTTTGTTCCTTCCAACCAGTGAGATGTAAGACAAGGGGGCTGTAGTTATGTTTTGCATTTTCTAAAACTGCCTTAGTGGCTCTTGGACCTCAATGTTATTTTTAGAAGTGCCTTGGCTTGCACAGTCCTCAGAAGTCTTCAAGTGCAGAGCAGTTATTAAATCAATTGAAGTCAGAAGAACTAATCTCCCTGAAAAGCTTGGCTGGAGGAGCATACATCTACTCTGACTTTGATTTGGAACTACCTAAGTTGCTGTAAGGCTTAGCACTCAGGAAAATTTATTCTTAAACAAAAGTTCAAATGTGACAAAGACACTGAAGCAACTCCTCTGTAAAGTGGAATTAAAGAGACACAGTGGTGGGAAGGAGGGGCAACAGGCACCAGTCTGTCAAGCATAATAAAAAGCCAAAGCAAACCAGCATTTGAGGCCAAGACAACCCTTACATACAGTTACTAACATACTTATAGGTTCAGTAAAAATATCAATTTTTCAGAAAAATAACACATTCCAAACTGCAGATCTCCTACTTTCTGTTGAAAGAAACCTATTATCTAGCCCAACATTGAAGCATCTCCAAACGTTGGGCTAGATAAACTCTGCATTTTTAAATTTTAATTTCATGTCTTTTTGTCATTTCCAGGTGGACCTGTCTGACCATTACAGCAGGGAATGTCACACAGCATGTGTTACAAACATGCTGCAGTTTGATACCCAATTAGTCTTCAGATATTGGGAAAAGAAAACTCTACCCGTTTTCAGCTGTGTTGTAGCAAAGCCCTAACATGATTCAGAGCAGGTTCTTTTCCTGCTGCTTTCAGCCTTGACACTGCACATGTGTCAAAGGACAGACAA